ACACACACACACACACACACACACACACACACACACACACACACACAGTGGTGAAAATAGTACCATAGAAAGTGCTTTCAAACCAGAATGAGGAACTTAAATGAAGACATCAACAGTCATTCGGTGCTTGTCAGGAGACGGTAAAGCTAAACAGAAGCGTAGAGCGGCTGCCTGTGGACTATTGGAAGAGTGATGGTAAACACCTCTGTCCCTGACCTTTAGGGCAAAAAGAAATGGAAAAGAAATTGCATAAGGCTTCAGATTTTATTTTGTGCTCTCTAAATACAGGGTTTAAAGCCCATGCAAGATGTGTTAAAGAGGCAGAGGAACAGGTAGTGGAAAGAGAAAGTAGTGAGGAAGTTCAGGAAAGTTACAAGTTGCTTAAAAAAAGCATTCAACTCACTGTGTCCAGCGTAATTTCAGGGTAAAAGGAATATGAAATGTAGATGTCACTGGAGGAGACAGAGCAGGTGGGATGAGCTGTTCTGAGGGGGGACACACAGGGATGTTTGTGGGGAGGCTCAGATATGGGGGGAAGCTACTGCTAGAGCCTGAGATGGGGCTCAGATACAAGCCCATGGCTTATGTAGTTACAGCCTCACTGGGTATCAGCTTCTGTGTTGGTCAATGGGCCATCTCAGATAAATCAACTCAGAGAGAGAAAGACTTGTTTTGGCTGGCCTCTAGTTTGAGGCTTTTGGTGACTGTCTCATACTGGCTTAGAGCAGGTTCTGGTTGTGGGTGTGATTAGGATGAAATGTTCTGAGGCCCTCATGTCTGCTCCAAGCACATGTTCCTAGTGACTAGAAGACCTTTGACTGGTCCCCTTACATATCCTCCTGTTTCCTGACAGAGCTACATTGGGAGCCCAGGCCTTAGCCACAGGAGCCTTGGGGGATATCCAATTCAAATTATGGCAGCCTTTTTGTTGCTAAAATGAAACTGGTGTTGTTGTTAGGACCAAGTGAAGCAATATGCAAGAACTACCTGGCATGTGTGGACACACTGCAAACCTTTGCTTCCCTTCCTCTGTCCTTTCTTCCACAGAAGGCACTCATGCTAATCAAAGACAGTGGGCAATGGTTTTCAATTTTTAAAATTGACATCACAATTGCCTAGAATTCTTTTGTTGAACATTTCTGTATAAAACTTGCCTAAGACCCCTTGATCTATAGTTGGAGGATATTCAGAGCCCAGCTTCCCTGACTTCTGCATCTATGCATTTAAACTCACTGTTATGTCATGGGTATACATGGCTTTTCCCAGCTTTTGGTACCTATCTTGTTTCCATAGGAACCCTGTTAACTGGCTTCTTTGTCCTATCAGCTACAGCAGCATTTCCTGTTAGCATACAGCCAGCCCTGACTCTGGGTTCTGAGCTTTCCATTGCTTAAAAAGAAACCTCTATGGTAAGATATAGCTAACCAAGGAGCTCCACCCAATGGGCACTGGTTGTGAGATTTCTGGGAGAGTTTATTCTGTGATATGTCCTTGCAAACATATTTTTTTCTGAACTGATTAGGATGTGTTTATACACACATGCATTGTGTACTTAAAAATATCTTAAACTTCCCTCTGTGGATGGGCAGCAAAGAGTATTCACACATAGACAGGAAAAACCTGCTGCATGGATAAAACCCATGCTTTATCAATAATAAGAAAAACATAACATCATAAAGAGAGGGGGAACTTTACCAAAGATGTGTGACTGGCAAACAAATGCAGGAAAATATGCCGGGTACCATTACCTAATTAGGGAAATGCTAACTGAAGGCATAACAAGACATGCCATAGATTTGGTGGGTTGCACAATCCAACACAGAGTAAGATGCTGAGTTTTGATGAGGGTTTGGAACACTTTGACCTTTACATAGTACAGGGAAAGTTCAATGGTACAGCCGCTTTGAAGAACAGCCTGTGGGAAGACTTAACTCATGAAATATACATTATCTACTCCAGCCCTTGATCTATATCCAAGAGAAATGAAAGCATGTGTCCATACAAAACTATTATGATAAGTGTTCATCATTTGCGGTTGTCAAAACAAGGAAATGACCCGGATATTTGAAAAGCATTTAATAGAAAACAAAGTGTATATATTCATACAGTGAAATATAACACACAATAAAAAGAAATGAACTCTTAATATGTACAACGTGGGTGTATCAAAAAACAAGTAGTCTTGGTGAAAAACATATGTACTGTGTAATTGTATGTAACGAATTGTAATGACATGAAATTCTAGAAATTTCACACTAATCTATAGTGATCGAAAAGAGATTAAGTGAGTACTTGGACATGGGGAAGAGCACAGAAAGATGTGGGCAGAAGAAAGCTCCTGACTGCATGAGTACTGTATGAAGCCACTCGAGGCTCTCTTTACCAACTAAGGACCTTACTATAGCTGGAATGGTCCTCCTTACTTCACAGGAAAGGGCGCAGAAGAATGTAGAAGGAAGTGGTTTTCTGGGGCTATGTATGTGGTTCAGTGATAAAGCTCTTGTGTACATAGCAATACCAGAAAAGTTGTTTTACTACAACCCATAACTGAAACTTCTCAGGTTGGCACTCTGTGTTGTTTATTACTGACTCATTCACCTTTCAGAAAGTAAGGGAGCAGAAACAAGCTTGTGATCTTACTCCTTGATATCTCATTGAACACATATTTTTCTTTTTTGGACTCAGTATCTTCAAGTCCAACAAATATAAACAGGATGGTCAGAAACAGGATCTCATTTTAACATCTTGTTATGGGTCCAGTGAAGTGTCAGAAAAAAAGTGGCATGTCTCCTGTCACCATGGATCTTTCCTTTACTGTCACTATCTTAACATACAAGGGAAATAACATTCTGGTTGTCTTATTTGTGGGTTATATATGAGGCAGTGTAAAATCAGAAGACTTGGGGCCTACTTTGTTCATTTGTTCCTTGTCTCAGAGACTAACCTATATGGTTGGCAGTGTATCCACTCATTGTGGCTTTTTTCCTTATCTGGCTGGCTTTTCAAATTCTCTTTGGCCACTACATAAAGAACAGACGAAGAGGGTAAAAGGTGAAGTTAGAAATACGATGAGAAACCGATGAATAATTCATTCAAGAAACAACACTGACTTAGGCCAGACAATGTACCTCTGCCTCTATAAGAAGTGGTCTCATTTGGAATACACATTGTTTGTAGTCTCATTAATACGATGCACCTAGTAATGTGGGATGAATGGGTAAGAAGAAAGACAAATGAAGGATGACTCTTACATATTACCCTGAGTGTTGTATAAAAGTGGAACTATTTGCTGAGGTAGAAAGATGGAGAGACGAGATTACTATTAAAACTACAACCTATATATACTCCAAATGAGAATCCTTCTTACACATGCAGGGCTACCTTTTCTGGTCTAAGTCACTGTTGTTTCTTAAGCAAATTATTCATAAACATCTCATCATATTTCTATACACAATGGTAGCATGTAGGGCTGAGGGTTTTTTTCTTACATATGACATGCTTTGAGTAATTTAAGTACAGGGTAGGTTCAAAGTAATGGTAAGAACCAAGTGAAAGATGCCTCTTGTAGCGAAGCACTGAGTAGATCAACTACAGGGCTGTGCTGAGTTTGAAGTCAGTAAGAGACACTCCTGACCGCAAACTGCTTTTTTTGGAGAATGGAAGCTGATATTTTATCAAAGGGGAATAAGATGTAGATACTTAGATATTGGCAAATAGAAAGCAATGGGGCAAACACTTAGGTTCTGAGGTAAAATACAGTTATCTACTGGGACTTCATACTTTTTACTTATGTCATATAGTTTTTTCTCTTTGTTAACATGTCCTAACGGCACCAGTATGTGGCTGTTGCTATAACACAGCTGGGAATATAAGCCCCAACATCGAGGATGCAAATGCAAGTTTCTCCCGAGTGCACTTGAAAAGAACTAAACAACGCTGAGATCTTCTGTGTTCTGACTGTGGTACAGGCAAAGATTTAAATGGTCACTGGTGAATACTACCCTAAGTGATCAGCATTAATGGGTCAGGTAGCAGGCACATGTAGGGGAGAAATACTACATACTTACAAGTACAGTTGGCAAATATATCCTTTTTTGACGTTTATCTGTGGGCTGTACTTGAACTATAACAACGCCATATCTATGTGTGAGAGAAGAGTGAGGAACCCAGTCTGCATTCTTAGAAAATGTTTGTCTTCTCCAGGGGACTGATGAGGTGCTGGAGTTATCTTATGGGGTGAATAATTTGTTTGCAAGGGTAAAGATGGTATAGTTTGTGTGGGCGTTATAATTATTACTTGAGGAATGAAAACTTTCCTGAAATTTGTCAACAACCATTTATAGTATACGTAACCTGGACCAGGAACCATATCAACTATGTTGTTACAAGTGTTGTTTTGTTTCATATTGACACTAAACCTTCTTTACTATGGTTTTACAGATGAGGACACTGAGGGTCATCAAGGTGAATCCGACTCTAAAGCCAGGATGACAGAGATGGAATTCGAGGCCAGACTTGGAACTTTCAGTTAGCATTCTGTTTTGTCTTCACCTTCCTCACATGCGTCCTGGTGTATAATTTTAATCTAGTGTTTATTTAATATTCACTGTAGCAAGGATTCTCCAGCCTTATGATGCTCCCCCACCCACTTCCCCCAGCACTCAAATAAAACAATATGGTGCCTGTACAACATGGGATGTCTGGAGACATCACAAATTTTCCAAAAATTCTCAAGGTTGGGGAAGAATTAGGCCTTTCATTCCTTCTTATTGCTGAACTGTCTCAACCCACTGGCTCCCAATAATGACATGGAGACTTTTTATTATCTATGAAAGCTTAGGCCTTATAGTTTAGGCTTGTTCCCAACCAACTTGTATAATTTAATTAATCCTGTCTATATTAGTCCACATTTTCTTCATGGCCCGTTACCTCTCATTATGTCCTAGTGTGTCCAACTTCCTCTATGTCTGGCTTCTTATTATTTATGAATTTAGGTCTTATAGCTTGGGCTTCTTCCCAATTAGCTTGTATAACTTAATTAATCCCATCTATATTAATCCATATTGGTTATGTGGCCCTCTACCTCTCACTATGTCTCAGTATGTTTGACTTCTTCCATGTCTGGCTAGCAAATCTGTATCTCTCAGTTCTTTCCCTGAGTTTCTATCCCTGCCTGGATGCCCTGGCTTTCTTTTCCTGCCTAGCTATATGCCTTCAGCTCTTTATTAAATCAATCAGAAGTTGAGGAAAATGTTTACAAAACACTGAGACAGGTGATGCTTCATAAACATAACAATAGCAAAGTCCAGACAGTACTCAGCTCTCTCCCGGTACAGAAATCACATTTGAATAATACAAAGACAACCTTGCACAGTGCACAAAGAGAGTATCCCAACACCTTCTAAGTTCTTCCTGTTTTCTTATCATCTGCCCACCCAATAAAACAATTACCATAACATTCCACAAAAAGCCTCAGCCTACAAGTGCACCTTCCTCTTCCACCTCCTGCTCAAAGTCACTTCTCCAGTGTTCAAAGTTGTCAGCTGGATTCTTAGAAAAGCTGAGCCTGCGGAGAATAAAGAGTGAAAGCAACTTACTGAGAAGGAAAAGGATAATAGTAAAATAGAAAAAAGGTGCAAGGAAGTAGAGATTTGGTGAGAAAAGTTCAATGCAAATCTAACAAGAGGACTGGCCTAGAAAGACTAGCAAAGGGCTAGTGTGCTCCCCCAGCAGAGCTTTTGGAGCAGTACATCTGGTCCTTTGTCTCGTGTAGAGAAGTGACTCAAAGTGCCAGTGTATTTATGGACTTGTGAACAGTAGTGAATGTTCTCTCTAATCATCAGGGTCCTGTGAGGAAAAAAAGATGGAATGATCAGAGGCAAGGGACTCTAGCGAAGAAGCATAAGGATGGACATCTGGGCGTGGGCAGAAGGTGTGAAGTGTGTGTGTCACATCCTAATATCCCCAGAAGCTTCCACCCCCAAATCACTTGGACTGTTGTGTAAGTCAGCCCTCGCCTGCAGTTACCACGGCACTAGCACAAAGGACACATGAAAGTGGTGGTCAAAGAGTTGGATACAGAGGCCACATACAGGGACAACAGCACTGGCTTCTACTTTCTGAGGCTGAGCTACTGCCACCTCTGAATATTCAGCACATGAGCAATGAAGACTCGTACTGAGCATTGTGTGGCATTCTTCAAGAAAATCAACAAGTCATTTGATAAATTGGCTACATTTCATTCTGAATGTTTCATGCTCACAAGAACAGACTCTGATACTAGCTATGGATTTCTCTTTCTTGTTCAGAGTACTCAATCTATAGACAAAGGGTCCACATACTATCACATCCAATTAGAGAGTTATTCTAGGTGGAAAAAGGAAATAGAGCCATCTAGCCAGCTGACCAGTTACCAATTCTTAATACATGTTAAGATCATCCTTCTTATATATTAATGTTTCTGTGTTTAGATCAGAATCCTTCCATTTATTGTCTGGATTAATTTCAAGAGCCTCCAAATAGGCTTCCCTGTCTCACAACTATACTCCAATCTACTTTATATATTCTAGAGCTATCCTCCATATAAAATGTAGGACCTTTAAATAGTTAATGCTTCTTATCTTCCAAACCTCAGCTCATCTTCAATTGTTCCAATGCTCTACCATAGAATCTAATGTTGGTGAAATTGTAATGGGTAATAATGTCAACTTGACTGAACTGAGATGCCCAATGTGTAGGGGATCAATCTAGCACATCTGTAAGTATGTATGTAGGGAGAAGTTTTAGGGAAAATTAGTTTATCTGACCAAATGAATGGATAGCTTAATCAATTGGTAGATTCAAGGCTGTTGGGAGATGGTAGGACTATGCAAATTGGAGAAAGTAGGTCAATATCGATGTATCCTTGGGAAACTATATCTTGGCCTCTCCTGTTACCACCCTGCATTGATTCCTGTCTGCTATATGTACCCTGCGCTAGTTCATCACACTAAACATCATGGTGGACTGAAACCCTTGAATTTGTGAACTAAAGATAAATCCTTCTTCTAAGTTGTTTCTGATAGGCATTTCATTAGAGCATCAAGAAGAGCTAATTTGCACGTAAACAAGGGGGTGTCCTTATTGATCAAACATTAATTTTCATAAAATTCAGGAGTAAGATGAGAAACTTAATAAGATCTTATATAAAAACAGAAAGTAAATAAAGAGCTCTGCAGGCAAGAGACACCCACTGTTGCAGCAGTGATGTGACGGTTATGGGTGTAGCCAATGGCTTTCTGATTGGATCTGAGGCCCACTCCACAGAAGAAATTCATGTCTAATACTATTTGTGGTCAAAAGCCTGTGTCTGGGGGAGGAGATAAGCCCTACTAGTGAGGCTTATTTCTATTGTTTTGCTACATAGACATGCTGTGCCTATCAAATTGCCTTTAAAAAGACTTTCAGTGTCCATGAGTCCCAGAGCTAAGAATAGCCTCAGACAAAATCCAATGCCTATAAGAGAGATGTCTCTATTTCACTGTAATCCTCATAACCTATCCAATGTTTCTTACAACGTATTTGAAAAAAGCCTTGATTTATGACTTTGTTCTGTTACACTGAAAATGCATGTAAATGATATAACACTGTAGCAAGGTTTGGGTCCGGTAAGCTCAATCCATATTCCCAAGCATGGTCATTTATATTTTACTCTAGAATAAATGCTAAAGATTTATTCTCTTGAAGATAAGAGCTGTCTTAGCACAGCCATATCTAATGGAAACAGAGAAAAATCATAAATCCAGCACAGCTGTTTGACAAAGATCCAGCAAAACTGAGCCCAGTGATGTAATCGCTGTGGTGTAGTCTCCCACTCTTTTGGCCTTAATTTCTTGTTGGTATAATATTCTTGTGGAATGTATACAATCTACCCTTGTACAGTCACATGCTAATTTCTCTACCACACTATCTGGTTTTAATCCGGATACTGCATTGTGATGCTTATTTTAAGCATCCCCTGTATCAAGTTTGTGTAAATATGCCACCATTTATTCTCTGTATTGACAATAAAACAACCAGCCAGTGCTGAGCAATGGAGAGAATAGGGTGGGACATCTTGGTCCGGAGGGGAGGAGAAAGAAGCAAATGGGAGGAGGGATTAGGGAGAGAGATCTGAGAGGCGAAGACCTGAAAAACGCCAGGAAATAATGACTAAAAAAGAACTATAATGTGGGAAATCTGAATGGGAAGAAGCTAGGTGGGCTTGGCAGTTTAGGATGGAGTAATCATTGCTCAGCATTGTGCTCTAGGTTAATTAAACAAATCCTAGTCTCTGTGTGGTGATTTGGGTATACAGCTGGTTTAGGAATAACCACTGTTTAACTGAAAAACAAATTAAGAAAATATTAATAGTAAATATTAATAATCAATAACAATCTCTACATGCCACATGCTTGGGGGCTTTTATTATTTGTACAACTTGGGAATATTGCATTGATGGAAAGTTTTATGAATCTTTTATGACTTCTCCCAGAAGTACTGCTTCTCAGCTTCCCTAGGAATGTCCTGACCATACTACTCCTCCTGCTTTTAGGGAGATATCCTTATCTGGCCCTACTTGAAGGTCTTCCTATGTTCTGGAGGTTGTGACTCAAGTAAATATGCCAGAGATCTCCTTATGAGGCTCTGAATTAACGATACCCTTGGCACATCTGGTCCTGAACTTACTTAGGAACATGATAATAGGAAAGAAGTAAACTTAAAAAGGTAAACAAGATTTGGTGTGATAGAGGAGTTGGCAGCAGATCAAATTAAAAGCCTCTTCTGCTACTGATGGACAAGAACGGTGTGGGTAAATGATAAAAGAATCAGGTATTAAGACCTCCATCTTCTTAAAAAATGTTAACTCATTCAGGGTCACTGTGGTGCATATGACCAAGGAACCAAATAATAAAAAGATTAGACATATAAATAAATTTTACAAATATATAAAATATGAACATTGTATTATGCCAGAAATTGAGAGCAGCTTTGGCCTGAACATTTTTCTGAGACCAATGACAATTAGCACTCTAACTATTAAAAGTTGATAATGCGCTACTTGGGACATAAAAATCTGCCCAGGCTGGCTTGGAGATTTTCTTTTGGTCTAGTGCCCTTAAAACCGAAAAACAAAAACAAAAACAAACAACAACAACAACAAAAACTACCAGCCTGAAAAATGGGCTGTCCTGCTTTGGTAAAATATACCTTTGGAACTACAATATTGTTAAAAGTTGGGTTGAGGGGTTGATGAGGGAAAATGATTTTAGAAGATAAATCTGTTCTGTCATGGTTTATCAATGGTGCTTAAACTTATGACCAAACAGAAGTTCAAACACGTGCCCAGTAACAAAAATGTTATGATTTATGTTTCGGAACAACATGCATCTATCCCTGCCTACTGAGTTCTGTATAAATAAAGAAGCACACTGAGTACCAGTCAGTGAGTATGTAAAACTCCCCTTGATCCCCGTGCCTGACCCACTCCTCCCTCGCTGACTCCTTATCTCCTCTGTGGGACCTGGCCATAGGCAGGGCTTGGCTCCTAGCACTGTGTTTCCTGCACTACGCTTCTATGTGCTGTGTGGAAACACTTCACACAAGTTTTTGTCTCAATATGTTGATCTCTTCTTAATGAATGCTGAGTCTTCAACCCCAGTGACCAGTACCACCTGTCCCAGGAAAGCAAAGGTTTTACTTTAGTGGTTCACAGCTGATTCTTTCGTTCCACATAAACAAAACTACAGATTCTTAATTAGAATATTTCATAAATGGCCATTTTAGAGTCTTTCCTTCTCATTGAAACTTCATAAGCCAAGGCTCCTTCATCTCAGCATTCTCATCTTCCAATCCCACCATGTCCACCTCCAGCAGTCCAATAGGCTCTGAGCACTCAGTGGCTTTTTTAGTGCAAAGTTCCAAACTCTTCCATAATACTCCCCCAAATCAGCATGGTCAGGTCTGTCACAACAATACCACTCTTGGTACCAAAAATCTGTCCTTGTTAGGATTTTTATTGCAGGGATAAAACACCATGACCAAAAGTACCACTTTCATATCATAAGCCATCCATGAAGGAAGTAAGGGTAAAACTCATTTTCTCAATTGAGGTTCTTCTTTCCAGATAAATCTAGCTTGTGTCATGTTGACAAATATCCAACACAAAGTTCTAGCTATAGCAATGGCGGAGAAATAAAGGAAAACACTAGTAAAAGTGTAAATATCTCTGTTTGCAGATGATGTGATGTTTTACATAAGAGCCTGTGAATATTCCCCTAGAAATTTCCTAGAGCTGATCGGTATGTTTGATAAAGTGGCAGGAAACAAAACAAGGTTAATAACAACCAGAAGCTTTTCTATATGCCATTGATAAGCACACTGAGAAAAAAATCAGAGAAACAATTCCATTTACCTTAAACATTTCCAGTTCATTTTAAAGAGGGAGGGAAAGGGGAAGGGGAGAGGAGAGCAGACAGGAGGAAGGAGATATGGACAAAGAACAAATAACCTTGGAGTAAACTTAAGCAAGGAGGTAAATGCTCTTTACAATGAAACTTTTTAAAAGTTATTATTATCATGTGTGTGCCTGTTCCATGGCATGTGTGGCTGCCTAAACATGACAAGGAAGACATCAAATGGGCATGCTAATGTGGGAGGGGGAAAGCTCATAAGGCCTTAACCCTACATGAAGAACTACAGTCAACTATGCAATGCCGACAGTGGGAAAGTCTTCCCCAGGTAAGAGCACACCAGCTGGTCATCCAATACCAAATGGTGAGCCCTGGAAGCATGTACCTACCAGCAATAATATACAGACTAAGCAGGTTGTATCTATTTAGGAATATATATATTCCTAATATATATATTCATATATTATATATATGAATATATAATATATGAATATATATATGTGTGTATACAAACATACATGTATATGTAACAAAAATTAAAGAAAAAGGTCATGAATTTCAAGAAGAAAAGGGGGAGTACATGAAACAGTTTGGAGGAAAAGAAAGAAGGAAATGACATAATTACAGTATCTAAAAGTAAACTTGGTTTTAAAAGTCACACTAATTTGACCAGGAAGCTTACAATTGCTAGTTGCTATAAATGCCTTAGTTAAGATATTCTTTTGGCATAATTACCTGTAAGTGCAGTTTTGGACAAAGGCTTTTGTGACGACTTGAAGTTACTGCAGTATTTTTATCAAGAAGTACTCTTTGCTATAAATGTTTAAAGTTATAATAGTAATTTTTAGTGATCAAATTTTTAGTGATTTATTATGAAATGAGAAAATGAAGGCAAACATCAGGCCTGCTTTCTTACAAAAATAATATTTTATGAAAGGAACTAGTACCAATTATTACCCTGGATACATGTACTCACAACACCCTAGTAACTTTCCTCCATCTGGGAGAATAAAGCTATTCACACTTTTGAGAGAGCTTTCTTCACTGCTTACTGTCAAGTTCAAAAAACATTTCTATATCTGAATACAGTACCTTCTGTCTCATGAGGGATATGTTCAGGTATTATGGTTCCTTAATATTAGTGGCTCCTTCATAGCACCTTTAATATTTCCCTCCCAACTCCTTATTTTCATTTAGGTGAAAGAAAATAAGCATTGTTGTTCCAACAGATGCTTAACACCAGTCTTTAAATAAAGTATACTATTTCTCAATCCATGTTAAAACAATAAAGGGAAACAATGAGAAGAGGAGGAGGAGGAGGAGGAGGAGGAGGAGGAGGAGGAGGAGGAGGA